GACTCGTCGTTGTAGAGCAGCGCCAGCTCCGAGTCTGGGGGCACCGCCAGGGACCCCCGGGACCCCTCAGGGGCTGGGGAGGAACCCCAGGACCCCCAGGACATGCAGAGGGACCCCCGGGACCCCTCAGGGGCTGGGGAAGAACCCCAGGACCCCCAGGACACGCAGAGGGACCCCCAGGACCCTTCAGCATGTGGGGAGGAACCCCAGGACCCCCAGGTTATGGGGTGAGGGACCCCTGGGTTATGGGGAGGGACCCCTAGAACACAGGGAGGGACCCCCTGGGACCTTCAGGACACAGGGAGGGACCCCCAGGACTCAGGGAGGGACCCCCAGGACACAGGGAGGGACCCCCTGGGACCCCCAGGACACAGGGAGGGACCCCCTGGGACCCCCAGGACACAGGGAGGGACCCCCAGGACACAGGGAGGGACCCCCAGGACACAGGGAGGGACCCCCTGGGACCCCCAGGACACAGGGAGGGACCCCCAGGACACAGGGAGGGACCCCCTGGGACCCCCAGGACACAGGGAGGGACCCCCAGAACACAGGGAGGGACCCCCTGGGACCTTCAGGACACAGGGAGGGACCCCCAGGACACAGGGAGGGACCCCTGGGACCCCCAGGACACAGGGAGGGACCCCCTGGCACCCACTGGTGTTGATGAGGAACTGGTTGGACACCCCGGGGTGGTCGACGTCGTGGATGGCGGCGGCAAAGAGAGCGGCCAAAACCTCCAGGTCGGTGAAAACGTCCTGGGATGGGGAGAGGGACCCCCCTCAGACCCCTCCCCAAAACCCAGCGGGTCCCCCTTCCCCCCTCAGACCCCTCCCCAAAACCCAGCGGGTCCCCCCCACCCTCATGTGGGTCCCTGTGTCCGCTCGCAGTACCCAATTCTGGGCGCCCTCACCCCAAAATCACAGCCAGATCTGCTCCCACCACCCATTTTTAGGTTTCCCCCACCCATTTATGGGACCCCCCCCATTTATAGGATGCCCCCACTCCCCCAATTATGGATCCCACCACCCATTCACAGGAC